CTCCGTCAAGACGCCGCCGGTCCTGCAGTGGTTCCAGGTCGGCAGCCCCTGAACGCCGGCGCTCGCCACTTAGGCTGCATTCGAGAGCTCCCGGAGGCCGAAGGACGAGGTCTCCGTCGAACCGCAGCCGCTCCCGCAGTGGCTCCAGGTCGGCAGCCCCTGAACGCCGGCGCTCGCCACTTAGGCTGCCTTCGAGAGCTCCCGGAGGCCGAAGGACGAGGTCTCCGTCAAGACGCCGCCGGTCCTGCAGTGGTTCCAGGTCGGCAGCCCCTGAACGCCGGCGCTCCCCACTTAGGCTGCCTTCGAGAGCTCCCGGAGGACGAAGGACAAGGTCTCCGTCAAGACGCCGCCGCTCCCGCAGTGGCTCCTGGTCGGCAGCCCTTGAACGCGTGCGCTCCTGCTCTAGGCTACCTTCGAGAGCTCCCGGGGGCCGCCTGTCAAGGTCTCTGTCAAGACGCCGCGGCTCCCGCAGTGGCTCCAGCAAGACGTCAGCATGTCTTGGACGCCGAAGCCGTAGCTCCAGCTTTGGGACCGCACCCAGGACCTGCTTCCGGTCAGGTAACAAACGGAAACTCAGCAGCTCCTGCGACTCGTTGCATAGCGAGAGGACGGCGGTGGCAAAGAAAGCAGGCAACGTAGTCGCGGAGCACCGCACCCCTTGCCCCAGTGCCTCGGGGAGTGGGCAAGGAGATCCTGGAGGCGCGGAGTGCACTCCTTCTGCCGCCAAGTCCCACGCCACGACCACTATAGTCCGTCCCAGCCGGAGCCGTAGTAGTGAGTCCGGCCAAGGGGGTACCAGCACGGCGGCCCAAGTCCACGCGGGGGTCAGCGGTGGCGACTCTCACCTGACAAGCCGCACTTCCGACCATGACACATCTCCTACGCCAGGAAATGTTCAGAGTGCCGCAGCAAGCAGTTTTAGAGGCCGCACCTTGTTCGGCCGGGGACGAGGAAGCTTCAGCCTCAGCTCCAGAAACCGCAGGCTAGAGGATCCTGACCTTATTACGTTTGGCACTCAGTTCGCATCAGGATCAGGAGAGGTAGGTCTGAAAGTACGCCTGCATATTGTTTGATACTAGTAACATATGTTGAAATACCAGAAATTTTTCCAAAGGGTTGACTCTTTTTGT